GTTATTTTGTCACCCATTTTTCATTGGCTTGTAATGGATCCAAAAAATGTGTAATTCTGTTCTGCCAGTTTTATTATCTTGAACCGGTAGTCAGACGCCATACAAGGTCATTACAATTTGATTTGATTTACTGCTTTAAGCAATACAGCTTGGCCGAGGTTGTATTTAGGTGGGGAACAAAGAGCAGATCACTGATGAGATCATCTTTATACACCTCCAATCGGTAAGCTCAACTTGTTGGATTCACTGCACTGTGCAATGCATTAAAGCCTGATTGGTTAATAGTGCCTTCTCTTCCTCTCCCAGTCTGAATGCTATTGTACAGGGGATTACAGGAGGCTAGTACCACAACAGATTGGTATCTTATTTAAAAATACATTTAAGAATTTTTAAAATAAATAATGTATTTATTTTTATCTGTTTATCAGCATGCCTGATTGAAGAACCTAAACACGGTCATGTGCTCTTTAGTAATGTCTCTGGTGCTCTGTCCTCCTCAGCTAAACTGCGCTAAATAAAATCGAGTATCTTTCAGTCATTGGCAACACTGAGGTATTGCCATCCTGGTAGTATGCTTTCCACCAGCCAACTGCTCGAAACCTTTGAAAGTAAAAGTTTTGGCTAAAAGTAGGCATCCCAAAATGTCTTTTTACCTTTATTTGCCAGGTTGTGCTTTTCTAAATGAGTTTCCCATTCTTACTAGTAGCTCACTTCCCTGAATTCTAGGCTCTGCTTGCTCTAACCTGCTTGCTCCAAGTCCAAAAAGGGAAACTTTTATTTCCCACTCTCATTGGACAGGGGAAAAAGCAGTCGGTGAGTCATGGGGCCCATTCACACCAGTATGCTGCACATGTTACTGGAAGGCATGGTAACGAGTTGCTCACTGTACATTGGGGTGCTATGGTGCCGCTCATAAAGAATGGCACCCCGAAGCACTTTTCTGATGCACTACAGCGTGTTGCACTCAAATTAACTTTGAAATGTGTGCAAGAAAAAAACACTGTACTTTCCCTTAAACAAAACACAGCACACCTAAGCTGCTGATTTTAAAGGTAGCAACTTTTCATTGGGAGATAAAAAGGTCCAGATGGAGCAAAAAATGTTTTTTTGAAATGCGTGCATTTTAAAAGACTTCTATAACAGACAGGGGCTGCCAAGTGGAGTTGGCACAGGGAAAAGGGTAGAGCTTGTGTGTGTGGCCACAATTACTGCGCTATATTTAGTATCTGTGTATTTCCATTTGACTCCACTCTCTCAGTGGTAACACAGCAGATTTTGCTTAAGATCTTGATTGTCACCAAAGTAGGACATTGCTCCTTGCTTGCGGTAGATCGTTTGCTCTATAGATATTCACCCCTTTGCATTATACAATTTAGCAGTGCAAAGAGATTAAATGTGTAATAGCTAGCTATGATTGCTAAAAAAAAGTGGCTGGTTGCTATTGGTTATGTCACACAATACTCTTTCTACTGTATCTTAGCATGAACAGAGCTGCACCTGAGCTAATCTGGTCCCACACCAATCAAATTTCCTGCTGAAACGGCTAAATTTGATTTAGGCCCCGTTCACACTGAGCGGTTTATCACGCGATTTCTGCCGCAAAATCACACATATTTCCGCGCGATATCGCTCTATGTAGCTTGTCCAATGCATTTCAATGGAGCTGTTCACATCTCGCAGCTCAATGTCGCCTGTAGCTTGTCGCCCAAACTTGTCGCTTGACCCTTTTTTTCCGCGCATGTCGCACGATTCGGCTCCAATAGACTCTATGGTGTTGCGCAAAATCGCGCATTACCGGCGCTATTACAGGACTTTGTCGCGCGATATCGTGCTACAGAAGGGTCACTTTTGCACTGCAAAATGGAAGGAAATAATGATGTCACATCAAGATCGCTGTTGATTGGTTACAGCCCAATGTAGCAGCGACAAAGTCACGCCCAAAAAACGCACTATGTAGCGCGATAAAATGTGCAATGCCGCTCAATATCGTGCAATGTAGCTCTAGCCGCTCAGCAAGAAAATGCACTGAAAAACGCGCGATATCCATGGCGCTCTGTGTGAATGGGGTAGCCCTACTGGCCCTACCCAGCTTGACAAAAGTCGATTTTTCAATTGACTTTTGTCTAAGGAGCTGGGTGGAAATTTTTCGCTGAAGACCGACGGCAGTCAATCAGCTGTAGGCTGACCGGGTGCTGGCTGTCTGAATGCAGTAGCTGGCGGGGAGATTCCTCCATCCACACTCTTTAGCGTGGATGAGGGAATCAAGTGCAGCCTATGAAGCTGTATGGTCGGATTTAGTCTTCACAGCAATCATTGTGTCCCTGTGGATCCCATGTGATCTTTTAACTGTTTCTAAACAGAAGAAAAAAAAGATAGGACAACTTTTTAGAGTAAAACAGAAGGTTCCACGCTAGCCAAAATTCCTTCGCAAGCAACAGCAAGGACCCCTTTACATGTAGCGTGGAAAGAACACAACTCATGCTTATTTATCTTCTCTTTGTCTTGCAGAGTGCTCAGCTGACAGAAATGGTTAGTAGTCTGATGACCTCTGTCCCAATCGCCCTATCTCCTAAGCCCTATATTAACTCTTCCAACCGTGACTATGAGGCAGCTGGATTTCCAAGACTTAGCAGGTTCGCATTATTTCAGCAATATACTGTAATGTACTGTACAGACATGCCATCCATTCAAAGCATGCAACATACTTGGGAAGCATTCTTTCATTCTTATTTTTATTCACAGCACATGGGTTTATTTGCTTTCAGAATGCCTGTGCACAAGACAGCATTTCCTATGTTCAATGGATTCAGCCAGAAGCAGCCAAAAATAGAAAGGAGAAGGATACATGCCAAAGTCCCCTCCACTGGTGGGAGAAGTTCAGCCCGTACCAGACCCCTGCGATTCTATCACAAAAGAAATCTATATAGATTGGGCTCTGGCTGCACAGTAAGTCTGAACTAGTCTTATTTTTCAGTCTTTTTTTTATTTTAAGATTTGTAAATCTATGTTTCATAATTGTTTTATGAAATTTATATAAAAGTGTTTTACAGATAATACAGGGTTCATCCATGATATAGGATTCCAAGAGCACTGTGGGTTTTCCAAAGATAAAGCCCACAGAAGATCTCTTGCTTGTATATTTCCACTTTTGCAGCCAAATTGGGATAACACCTATTTTATATTTGTTACATGCTCTCATTCATATGGCATAACTTTAAAAAAAAAATGCTGCTTGAACAATACATGCTATATTCCAGGAACATGTGGTCTGGGGAGGCAGGTGAGGCTGACAGCTTTTTCTACATGCAGCAGGGAAAGCCTCCCCGCTGTGTAACCTGTCATGGATGGAGTGCTGCCTGTTAATTACAGGCAGCCCTTCATTCAGCTTTTGTCAGCTATGTTAGGTTACACCTATGTTGGGTAACCTAACACAGTGAGGCCAGAGCTACAACAGCCTCTGCCTTGAAGTCAGAGGCTTGAGCTCTATGGACGCCAAAGCGCCATTGGTCCAAGCTGTCCAAACAAAACAAAAAAAAAGAGAAATAAATCACTGAGGGCATCCATCTAGATGCCTCATCAGTGATGATGAAGTAAGGGACAGGGAAGCTCCTCCCTGTCTCCTCCATCCTTCACACATAGCTTGGTGACAGGGACAGGGGTGGGCCAGGGAGTACCTCACCTGCCACGGACCTCGCTGCAGGTTCCTGCTCTATTCTGACAGCAAAGTTGTTCTCTGTAGTGAATTTCTCTCTGATGTGCAAGAGGGGTGGGGAGGGTAATGTTTGCGATATTTAACCCTGTCTCTACTATGCTGGCAGATCTCATTTTCAGTTGCAAACTAGACTGAACACTGTCTATGTTAACCCATAACAAACATATAGTGGGGGTTTTCGTATTTTGACTGCAAAAGTGAAAATACACTTTAAGCTTCAGACTAAGCCATATGCAAGGAAGAAGAGGAGTCACGGCTCTGACTAATTTACTTCAGTGTGTACATTTCAGCTTCAGCTTTTAAACTGGTTTCTTTCATCAAAACTGCTAAGGATATACAGCTATACATGTTAAAGAGAGACTAGAGCGCCACCAGCTGGCATTAAATGAGATTGCAGAAATATGATACGCCAGTGCATCCTGACTATAGTGAATAAAAAGAAGCTATGCAAAACCTCTACACATCCCTTTGCAGCATATATCTACTTCTACTGTCTGAAAAAGTGTTGCATTTGCAAACCAGGCCCTAAAGAATACATACAGTATGTTGCACTATTATCTGTTAATTAAATGCATTTCCCTGTGTGTACTTCCTACTAGGGTGTATATTGATTTTTACCGCAGTGCAGAAATCTAATTTTAAAGAGCAGAAAAAATGATGCAGTATACCCAAAGATTTGTAACAGACCAATTGCAGAATCAATTACCAATTACATTGGAGATCCTAGGGGGACCACATGCCTCCCCTCCATAACCACCCCCCCCTTCTCAATAACAGTGGAAGGAGGTGTTCTGTAGATCACAGATGTGAGGAAAACTAGACACTGCTGATAACGCTGCTTGAGATTTTAGTGTAGCAGAGGCAGTGTGCACAGGACGTTATGAGCTCAATGGATTTTCTGGCAGAAAAAAAACAAATATTAATTTTGCATTAAACAAACAGATATAACAAAATGCTTTCAATGGAATGTTTAACAAATGAAAAGGGAGAAAATAAGAAGAGTGTTAGGGCCAGTTTACACCCATTGCGGTGCGTTCCAGAGCAGTAGCTGCTGGAACGCACTGTAATGGCACACTAAACTCCCCGGTTTGTGCTGGGGTGGGAGGGGGGTGTGGCGGGGCATTGAAGTCAATGGCACCGCAGCCACGCCCCCTACCCGCAGTGTGATTGACTGCGTGGCAAAACATTGCCTGCTTTCCTGTCCAGTGCGAACGCGAAAAAATGCAGCATGCTGTATTTTGCACTGGACCGTACACAGGCAATGTTTGATCCTGTGACAGGTCAGGATAGAGAGCAGTGTGGGAGCGGTAAGAGCTCTAAGCGGCAATGTCAAAGGAGGCCGAGCTCTCCTCCGCTCAGCCTCCTGTGATAGATCAGGATAGAGAGCAATGTGGGGGGGGGGGGGGG